CACCGACGCTGCCCTTCCCGACCTCACCAAGCTCCAACCCTCCAACATCCAGCACCTAATATTCACCTCCATCGACCACCCATCCGTTCAAGACGAAACAACCTCCGTCACCACCCTCATCGAGGCCTACCTCGCCTCCCAATCCCTCCCCTCAACCGTCATCCTCTCCACCACCATTCTCCTCCGCAACATGTCCGACTTTGCCACCATAAACCCCATCTACGGCTCCCTATTCCCCTTCCCTAACCCCCCGTCCCGAGTTTGCATCTCCTGCGGGGATCTCCTCCCCAAAGGCATCAACATCGTCATCGCCCTAGCCCTCTCGGCCACCCCAGACATCCAAAGAGAGGGCCTCCACGTCCAGAGCAGATCCTACTGGGCACCGGCCAACATCGGCCCCTATTCCCAAGCAATCACCACCCCTCTCTTTCCCAACTCCCAAGCAAAAGCAGTCAGGATCGCGGGTCAGATCCCCCTCATCCCAGCAACCATGACCCTTCCCCCACCAGAAGAAGACCTCAACACACAACTCGTCCTCTCCCTGCAGCACCTCTTCCGAATCGGAGTCGAAACCGGCGTGCAGCTGTTCACCTCGGGAGTGGCCTTCTTCCCTCGCTCCTCCTCCGGGAACATGCAAGAAAAGGTCAAACTTGCAGCCAAAGTTTGGGAGTTGGCACATGCACTCCCCAAAAATGAGGATGATGATGATGAGGAGGAGGAGGAGGAGGAGGAGGAGGAGGATGAAGATGGTCCAGATATTTGGGATAGGAAATATAACTCGACTTATACCTCGTTTGCCTCGGCCGGCCAGGCCACCCAGGGGCCGCGGCTCCCAGATTGGAGCGCGGTAAAGACCAAAACTACCATTCCGCCTGTCTTTGTGGCTGAGGTGGAGGAGTTGCCTAGGGGAAGTGGAGTGGAGTGGCAGGGTCATCTTGGGATTGCCTCTGCTGGGGAAGATAGTGTGGAGATTGTGAAAAGGGGGGAGAGTATCTGGCAGGTTGTGGTGGAGGAGAGGTTTGTTCAGACTGTGGTTGTTGAGAGGGTGGATAAAGACAGTGTTGATGAGGGTGTTGGGGCGGTGGTGAAGGAGTTGGAGGGGAGGTGGTTGGTGCCTGTTGTTACCTATTTGGATAAGGGGTTTAAGTACAGATTGGGCGAGGAAGGGAAGGGGTTGGTTGTGCCGTGTAGGAGTTTGTGGGATGGGAAGGGGGGGAGGGTGGGGATGGTGAGGGTTTGGGAGGGGGTTTTGAGGGAGGATTGATGGGGAAAGGATATACATTGGGTAGAAGGGTAGACGGAGGGATGGGATATGAATGCTATTTTTTATGACTTTTAGATGCACGACGGGTCTATAGAGGTAAAAGTTGAATGAGTAATGTGTTAATGTGTTAATGTGTCAATGTGCTGATTGGTGGCTGGAATGAGCAGCTTCCTCATCCCCAGATGGAAGGAGCAAACCCAGGGCTGGCGCCTGCCTACAATACCCTCGTCTGATGTTGGCGCCTTCCCACATCAAAGTACACTTGACCACCTATACCTTCCTCTTCTCAGGTCATGGTTGTCATAATTGGCAGTCACGACACACAACATCAAGTCCATGATTTTGTGGCACACCTCACCTGGTGTTGTTCATGACTTGTTCTCCGCCATGGTGATTTTGTATACCTAGTCTCCGCTCATTGAAGTTGGGTGAGGGGGGCCAGCCTACCATTGATGCCGACAAATCTAGCACGGATAGACATCTTACCTATGTAACACCTCCCCGCTGACTTGGATCGTGTCGCCTGAAGTATCTTCACCGCACGAGGGGTTTCGAGTGTGTTACAAAGCATGTGTATGACCTATCGACATGGTCATTCCCACCAGCAATGTCAATGAACATGATGCGCGGCCGCCCGAGAGGATGAGGCAAGGACAAACTACTTATATATCGGGGTCCGCGGCCCTCTAGTTTTACCTCCTGCCCTGTATCTAAACCTCAGGCCATTCAGATTCCTATATCTGGCAGCATCGTATTTCGTAGCTTGATCCTACCTTGGACTATCATCTACCTTTCTATTTATGCTACGGAACTTGCTATCAACCATCGTGGCCTGTCACCCAATACCCACCAATGTTTACTGAATCTTTAACAGCCAGGACGGTATGGAGGCATGACCTGAAGAGTGCCAGTACATTGATTCGAAAACCAACGTGACATGTGACAAGGTCTCTTCGAGATTTGACCCTGCCACGAAAGCTCACATTCGAGAGTTCCACTCTGGAGGCAATCGTAAGCTAGAAGAAGAGGCACTCGAGAATTTACCCTCAGGCATGGAGCAGATCAACGCAGAATACAACACATGGGGGGAAATCTTTCCGAAGTCAACCTCCCCGAGAAAGTGTGCCTGAAAATGAACCTCTGGAAAGAGAAAGGCCTCGCAGAAGACACCGCCACTGACGCAAGGAGGCCCAGGACGATCCAGAGCCGCGAAGGGAAGAGAAACCCAGCACAAAGCGCCGCCACAGAGATAAGCCGACCACTCGCGACGATCTAGAGCCTCCGAGAGAAGAAAGGGCCCACAGAGAAGACCGTCACAGAACCAAGGAGGATGCGCGGTATCCTGGCGTAAGAGATTCCATCTCGACGCCAAGTTCTTCTCGGGAGAAGAAATCCGGAGTACTTTGGGCACCTTTGATACCCCCGGGAGTGAGGAGCACTTTGTCGTAAGTGGCTATTGATCATCGCAATGGTAGGAAATATAGAAACGGTGGTGGGTTGCAAACGAGAAAGTAAGCCGGATGCGGTTTGGACGAACAGGATTTTTTTTGATTTTAAGAGGTCTCAGATTGCTAGTCAGCTGCTTGGAGACGAGGAATGGTATGGAGATAGCTTGGAAAAATATGATGTTGAGCTGATCTCGATATAGAGGTGCTTCGAAGATATTCTTGATAACTGTGACTGGTTATGGAGCTTTGATTTCTCTGCAGTTCAAGCAGCTGTATGGTATTTGATAGTTCTCATTCATAATAATGAAAATCAAATAAAATCTCTTGATCATCTTCCAAGGCCTGTTCTTCTTTTAAAAAGGCGTAGGTTGATAATAATTACGACAGAAGTGGTCGTGTTTGTTGGTGTGTTTGGCAAAGGTTTGTTACCTTCCATGCTTGGCTTCGGGGTTAGTCACGCGGCGGCAGGAGGAAAAGAGGAAAGAGGGCGCCTGCATGATGTTTGAGGCTGACCAGTTTTTGTTGGCCGTTGAGGCACCCGCGCTATTGGTGCACAGCTTGCAGCTTTGTTGATCCAGAGCCTCATCCCGTCGTCTGCGCAGCAGCTGCAGCTGGCGTAAGTCTTCACCGCTGCAGCCTGGAAATCTGCCTAGTCACGAGCGGATCCCTCTTTTCAACTTCATCTCTGTTTTCCATCTTATACCATTGATATCTTCATCGCAACCGCTCACTCAAGGTTTTGGCTTCATTTCCTACCGTACCTTTCCGGTCCTGATAACCCCCGCACATAAATTCAAACATGGCCCCAATCATGGACGACAACCCCTCCTCCACCAACCCCAACCACCCCGAATCCTCAGAATCAGAGTACGATGGATCATTCATGTCGACACCCGTCGAAGCAGACACGGATTCGTCCGACGACAAGAAGCTGACCATCAGCAAGGTCGCCGTGGTGGAAGTTTCCCCATCGCCGGACACCGATAACGCCACTCAAACCATTAACCCACCCACAAGCAGGCCACTGTTGGACATATCAGACCCAGGATCTGTTATCAAGGCCGCCAAACTGATTGCGACCTTTGCGAATGAGATCGAGAGACTGGGCGGTGTCAAGTTTCTGGAGGATCTCGAGAAGATCAGAAACAATCAAACACCACCGAAATCAAACACAGACCCACCAAGTACCTCCATATCTGCCGATCCAGAGAATCCAAAGCCCGAGGAAGCCAGTGGAAGCCAATCTGGCACCTCCCAAGCCCAGGAGACCAAGGAAGCCCAAACCAGCACAGCCACGGGTGAGACCGTTGCCATCAAGGACCACGACGTTCCCGCAAAGGCAGAAGAAATCACTGCCAAGGATCAGGCGGTTCAAGCAGTGCCTCCTGAGAAGGAGAAATCCTCCCCAGAAGAATCCCCGGCGAAGGACGATGACACAGAAGGTGCCAGGGAGTCTTCCAAGGAAGACCCTCCTAAGGACGCTTCTCTAGACACCACGACAGAGAAGAAAGATCGGGAATCCTCCGTGGAAGATGGCAAAGAGGATGGCAAGGAAGATGTAATTCCGGAGGGCATAGAAAAGAAGGACGAACCCCAGAAGGATGAAAGTCCAAAGGAGGAATCTAAGGCGGAGCCCACTGATGATGATCCCAAAGAGACTGATAGTGAAGTCAAGGAGGAAGGGACTAAGGAGGAGGAGGGGGAGGCGAAGGAGAGCGACGTTAAGGATAAGGCCAAGGAAGGAGAGACCAAAGAGAGCGAGGCCAAGGAAGAGATGACAGATGAGAACAAGCCAGAGGAAGCCAAGGAGGAGGCTAAGGAGGAGGTCAAGGAGGAAACCCCAGAAGAAGTCAAGCAAGAACCCCCACCAGCGCCGGCGCCCGCTCCGTTACCTTTGCCCGATCCTCCACACGACCCTTTCAAAGGTGTCAGAGCCGACCCCACCGAAACAGAAGAGATACCCTTGGATGCCAACGGAAAACCAAAGCCGAGCGCCAGCCGGCCGGGTATGCCCATTCTTCCCGCCCTCGGTCGGAGATGGGTGGCTAAGGAATCTGACGGCGTCGAACTGTTGGCCCCTGAAAAGGAATGGGAGCGCCGCAAAAAGGAACTGGGCGAGAAGAGCTTAGCGATTGACCAGCTCATGGCCATGGTTGGTCTTGAACAAGTCAAGTCAGAATTTCTTGCCGTCAAGTCTACCATTGACGCGGCAAAGAACAGAAGAGGGATGCTTCGAAGACAAGAGTTCAATCTTGCGCTGATCGGCAATCCGGGAACGGGCAAGAAGACGCTGGCGACTATCTACAGGACTTTGCTCAAGGAATGCGCCGCATGGTCTTCTGTCAACAGCCCGCACAATGAGAAGCGGTCCGGATTTGACTTTCAGGCGGACAAGGATATTGAAGGTTTCCACCTGGTGCTAAACAACTACGGCGAGAACTCCAAGGTCTTTGTCTTTATCGACTCCATCGAGGGGATGACGGGTTCCCTCAGGGCAGACCTCTTGTACACACTGGACCGTCATGCCGAGCGTCTTCGGCTGGTGGTTGTCATTGCTGGTACCGAGACGGCGATGAACAAGCTTTTGGCTTCGCGACCGAGCGGGAGATGGCAGTTTCCTCGACGGTTGACGATTAAGGATTACGATGACGAACAACTGCGTCTGATCTTTCTCCAGATGGTCCGACACAATGGATTCACCATCGAAGGGGGGGAGACCGGGCCGTACCCTCGTATTGTGGCCAAACGGGTTGCTCGGAACCGAGAGTCTGGTGGTTTCGCCAACGCCTATGATCTCGTGCTGGCTTGGGAGAAGATACTGGACCGACAGGCGGCAAGGCTTGACCTGGAGCACGCGGCGTGGAAGGCTGCCGAGGACAAGCGAGTCGAAGAGTGGGAGGCGGTGCTGGAAAAGAAGCGTGCTAACCTGAGAGAGCTGCTCAAGGAGAATCAGTCTCTGCAGGCAACTAAGGAGTGGTTGACAGAAGAGCTAGAGGTCGCGACTCAAAAGCTGGAAGAAAAGAAGCAAGAGCGAGAGCACTTGAAAGAGAAGGCGCTCTCCTCGAACGAGTCATCAGTCACCGAGCCCAAGGATGTCGAGAAGCCTGAGGAAGCCGTCAAGACCGAAGCGGTTGCTCAGCCTACAGAAGTTCTCAAGACTGAAGAGCCTGCCCAGGCCGAGGCCGTGGAAAAGGCTGTCGAACCTGAGACCGAGGCTGTGGAGGTTGAAGGAGAAGGTCTTAAGACTGTGGAAGAAGGCGTCAAACCTGTGGAAGAAGATGTCAAGCCTGTGGAAGAAGACGTCAAGCCCGATCAGGGAGGTGTCAAACCTGAGTCTGAAGCTGTGAAAGCCGGGGAAGAAGGCGCCGACACCAACCAAGGAGGTGTCAAACCCACAGGAGAAGATGTCGAGCCTGAGAAGGAAGGCGTCGAATCCGCGAAGGAAAAGGTTGATCCGGAGAAAGAAGAAGTCAAATCTGCAGAAGAGGCTACACCCAAGCAGGAAGCTGCAAATTCCGAATCAGAAGACGTTGGGAAGGATGCCAAAGTCGAAAAAGAAGATCCCAAGGAGAAACAACGCGTGCTGAGCCCAGAAGAGGTTGAGATTGCCGCTAAGATCGAGGAGCTTAAGAAGGCAATCGAGGAGGGCGAGGAGATGTTGTCTAGCCTGGTCGAGTACAAGAACTGCAGGGGCCAGGAGATCACCGCTCGTTTGATTAAGTTGTTGAAGTACAAGAAGCTCCCAATGCCCGTTTCAGTGGACGACAAAACTTCTGTTCCGAAGGAGCCGTCGGAGAAGTCCGAGATGTCGACGGATAATGATTCGAAGGACGAGAGAACCGGGGTTCAGAAGGCGGACCCAAGCTCTGCCGAAGGCAAGATTAAGTTTAATTTTGATGAGAAGAATTTGGAGCTTGAGAAGGATGGGGACAAGAAAAATGGGGGACTCGAGGAAGACGAGGAGCCCAACAAAGACGAGGATGCCAGCAAGAACGAGGATGCCAGCAAGAACGAGGATGCCAGCAAAGACGAGGAGCCCGAGAAGGAAGTCGAGCCTAGCAGGGACATGGAGTCTACTAAGGATGCCGAGTCTTCCACCAAGGACATCAAGACTAGCCAGGACGAGAAGCAAGCCAGAGAAGAGGGGGCAACTGACGGCGAGACTACGGCCGAGGATGAAGCCAAGGCACGACAACTCACCGAGCAAGACACGAAGGCCGACACCGACGGCCAGTCAGACAAGAAATCAACCGAGGTCGAGACCAAGGCCGAAGATGAAAAGAGCGCTTTCACTGATGAGAGTGATGAGAGTGATGAAGTGGACCTCTCGTTTCTGTCGCAGGGTCCAGCGCCAAAGCCCAACACCCGACTTCTCACCAAGGAAGACATCATCGGACCGGAGCCCGAGGATATTCGGGACAAGAGCAAGGCTTGGAAAGAGCTCAAAAAAATGGCCGGCCTCGAGAGCGTCAAGAAAGCGATTGGCGAGCTGCTCGACAGGGCCAAAGCCAATTATCGTCGCGAAGTCCTCGGCAAGGAACCACTCAAGACCTCCTTGAACCAAGTCTTTTTGGGTCCTCCCGGTACTGGCAAGACTACTGTAGCTAAGCTTTACGGCCAAATTCTGGCCGAGATTGGGCTTTTGTCCACGAAAGAGGTGGTATTCAAGACACCAGCGGATTTCATTGGGCAGTACATCGGTGAATCCGAGGTCAAGACTGCCCATATACTCGACTCAACGATTGGAAAGGTGCTTATCATCGACGATGCCCACATGTTCTATCACGGTGGTCGTCCGGGCACGACGCACGAGTCGGATGAGTTCCGTCTTAGCTGTATCGATGTCATGATCTCCAAGATTCACAACCAACCAGGCGAAGATCGATGTGTTTTGCTTCTCGGTTATCCTGACATGATGGAGGAGATGTTCCAAAAGTGCAACCCTGGCTTGCGGCGACGATTTCCCCTGGAGGAGGCCTTCCGGTTCCAGAGCTACGATGACAAGACGCTGAATGAAATTCTACGGTTGAAAATGGCCAAGGAGGAGATCACGGCTGATGAGGGAGCCATGGAAGTGGCAGCTGAAGTTCTCCGGAGAGCGAGGGACCGTCCTAACTTTGGCAATGGTGGTGATGTTGACAACCTGCTGAACCAAGCCAAGACTCGATATCGCGCCAGGACCAAGGCGAAGGCGGAAGCGGAAGCCGAAGGTGTAGAGAAACAATGCACGGAAAAGCCAGTCGAGCTGCCCCCGGTCACTCGGGTCGACATCGAAGAAGCTGTGGCTGGAGAACAACTAGCCCAAGCCCAGGTCGACCTGCTGACTGCCGTCAAAACCAAGGCAGCCGAACCTCCAACAGATAGCATTCAGCCCGAGGAAGAAGAGCTCGAGTCACCTCCACCAACGGAAACAACCGACAAACCCACAGACAATGCCGACATTCTCACTCACTCGGAAGCCAGCATCGTCCTCACTCGCGAGGATTTTGACCCAGACTGGAACCGCGGCGCCACTGCCTCCTCGAAGTGTAAATCCCTCTTCTCCTCCCTCATCGGCTACGAGTCCATCATTTCCAAATTCGAAGGCTATCAACGCCTGGCAGCAAACATGCGCCGCCGTGGCAAAGACCCGCGCGAAATCGTCCCCTTCACCTTCATCTTCAAAGGACCCCCCGGCACCGGCAAAACCCACACCGCACGCATCATCGGCCAAATCTTTTACGACATGGGCTTCTTGTCCACCAACGAAGTGATTGAATGCTCTGCCAGCAACCTCATAGGCCAATACATGGGCCACACCTCGCCCAAAGTGATCAACCTATTTGAAAAAGCCCTCGGAAAAGTCCTCTTCATCGACGAAGCCTACCGTCTCGGGGGGGGCAACCGCGCCACGGGGCATGCTTCTTACGAAGAGGAGGCAATTGGAGAACTAGTCGATTGCATGACCAAGCCACGGTACCTCCGCAAAATGATTATTGTTCTGGCGGGTTACGACAAGGACATGGATAACCTCATGAAGGTCAACGCGGGACTGAGGGGGAGGTTTGCGACAGAAATCAACTTTCCCACCATGACGGCTTCCAAGGCGAAGCAGCATTTGGAGAATTTGTTGCTCAAGGAGGATATTGAGCTACGGGATGAGTTTGATCCTGGGGAGGAGGAGAGGGAGAAGGTGTTGAGGTATTTGCATCAGCTGGGGAAGACGGCCGGGTGGGCGAATGCGAGGGATGTGAAGAGTTTGGCGGCGGCGGTGACGGGGCAGGTTTATAGGGATGTGGATTTGGATGAGCTTGAGAGGGAGGAGAATGAGGAGGAGGTAGTCAAGAGGAAGCTGTTGAGGGTTAGTACGAAGGAGTTGAATGGGCATCTGAGGGAGATGTTGAAGCAGAGGATGAGGAGCGGGGGGGTGGCTTGAGCGGAGGTAAAGCGATGATGTTTGGTTTGTTTTTCTTTTGGAGTTTTGGTTTTGGGGGGGGGGGTTTGTTATCCTGGGCAGGTGGAAGTGTACTGGAACTGGTGGGGCGTCTTCTTTATGAGCGGATATATATAATTTCTTGTTGAATGAATACTGTGCAGTATAACGAAGCAAGATTTGTTGCAAGGGACTGTAACTTTCGTGTACTCACTCACCCTCACAACAAATAATTGGCATAGAGAGTAGGTTAACCCATATCATGATGTGAACCATACCTCGAAGGATGATTAATAGGCCTTTAAAGATAGTAAATAGGCTTGTGAAGATAGTTCATGACCTCTTAAGAGAATTGATAGGCATTGAAAGATAGTCAAGAGGCCTTTAAAGGTATTCAAAGACCTGTTGATTTGCTTTCAAGGCATGGTTCACAATATGTAATATGGGTCAACTTAGTTTTGCTATTGTGGGAGGGTGCCTCGCTGACCATCTACCCCTCGTATCTTACACAACACCATCTTACACTTCTAACCCTCTACCTCCCAGTCCCCCCAACAAGCAAGATAACACTCCCCAGCTGCCTCCTCAAATCTTCCTTCTCTACGTCATGTGTATCCTCCACCTCTCCCCACCTCCGGGTCTGCCACTCAACCTCCACGCTCACCACCCTCGCCGCCTCCTCCACCCCAAACTTTCTCTCCTCCCCCTGGGTCAGGTCTTGCCTCTCCTCGCTCCACTCACAAACCAACCTCGCGGCCGTAAGCAAGCTCTTCCCCGCAAGTGTCGCCCTCTCGATGCCCGCAAGCTCCCAGCAACTCAACCCCAACACCCACCCCTGCACCACCTCCCTCACCCCCGGCTCTTGTTTCCTGGGCAGTATGCTCCCGCTATCCTCCAACACCGGCACGATATTCACCCCCGGCCAGACCTTACTCGTCAACCAACCCACCACACCCCCCGCCGCCTCCTCTTGCAGATCCCTCAAGCTCTTCCCCTCATCATTGAGGTAACTGCTCGGCGCGTGGGGGTTGGTGCTATCAGCAGGCGGCGCCCAGCACAACAAGCTGTCCGTGTCGAGATACCGCATCATACCGGTGACAATAGACTCCCTTATCGGACCAGGACCGCCAGGATGCGCAGCGTCCTCAGCCCCAATGTCAACCGCCCTGCAGACCAAAGACGTAAGCGGGATAAGATGCTGCTTCGTCGCCTCCTGTGCAGACAACAACTGGTCCCACTCCACCGCCAGCGCGTGGGCGAGCTGGGGTTTGGACAAGGGGATGCGGATGATGGATTTTGTGGTTGGGTGCCGGAGGGGGCGGGAGTCGAGGTGGATCTGGTAGGCTCCTACACCATACCACACATCATCAGTACAAACACACACACACACACACACACACACACACAAGAAAGAAAGAAAGGAAGAAAGAAAGAAAGAAAGAAAGCAAAAGGTGGGGGGACGAAAAGGGGGCGGGGGAATGTACGTACCGACAACCTCCTTGATGGAGACATCCTTCCAAAACCTCCTTTTCAACACCGGCGCGTTCGGGTCGGCAGGTTTGCTGTTGTTGCCGTTGTTCTTGCGAATGTCTCTTGCCTGTCTGAGCATCTCGGCCTGTCTTTTCCTCCTCGCGAGGCGCTCCTCTACCGCGTACTCTGCCGCCGGGGTGGGAGGCTCGGGGGGGGGACCGGTGCCGTACACGGGTACTACTTTGGCCGGTTTCGGGGGGTTGTTGTGAATCGTCCTCGTCGACGTGAAGGCCGCCGTCCTCCTCCTCCCCGCCGCGCGGAGGGGCAGGGTGAGGCAGAGTCTCGTTGCTGGCGCCATGTTGGCGAACCGGTCGGAGGAAAGGGGTGGTGGGTGGCTGCGGGAGGAGGAAAGGAGCTGTCGGGGGAGGGGATGCATGCGCAATATCAAAAGACGCAAGGCCAGGACCCCACGGTGGAAGAAACTCGTCGATCTGCGCAGCTCAGGAAAACATTTTGGAGGGTCTGGATGCTCTCAAAGTCTTGGCGGTCGTCGCAAGCTTGGTAAGTCAACAGGGATTAGCTATCTTATCGATTAATCAGTCGTTGTCCCCGCCAAAGAGGGGCCCTCGGGTCAACTTTGGAGATGACATCACTTTTGACGGTAGGAAACAATTATCTTATGATTTAAAAACAGTTCTACGACTGATATTGTATTTTTAATACGAGCTAACATTGCCCCCACCCAGCTGCAATACACCATCTTTTCTCTTCCTAAATAATCATGACAAAAAGATGAATCTATGTACCACTGAAAAGGCTGACCAATGTACTAGAATAACGTTCGTCACCAGAAACTAAACAAACTTAGACTCCCCTCTCAAGGCCATTAACCCCCTTGAAATTCAGTAAACAATCAACTATCACCTCACCACCATTAATAAACAAAGAGTTGCCCCCACCCCGCCCAATACATGTTCTCATGTTTCCAAGCCGGTCCTTTTTTGGGAAAACAGAAAAGAGAAGAATGTAGATGCTGTTGCTGCTTTCAAGCCCCCTCCATCATCCCCCCAGAAGCTGTGTTGAAACTCTGTGCTCTAGTAAGGAGGCTTCGTGATGCCCCCCAAATGCTGGTCTCCACCATGACTGTCAATCCCTTTCAACAACGCCTGGAGATCCATCACCGGCAGCTTATCCTCGGCCGACATCCAAGATGACGAGAGCGACCGATTCTGACCGCCACCTCGGCTCTTGAGGCTCCGCTTCGACGTCGATGGCCTCGGTAGGGTCGCAAAATCATGAGCCGATGTTTTATGTACCCGAACTCCCGGCACACCCTCCGGAATCTTCGGTACCGGAGGTACTCTCCCGTCTTGATCCTCATCCTCCTCGTGCGTCGGGTGAGAGCTGAGAGGCCCCCCTGGAAGAGAAGACTTGCGCTCGTGGTAGGTGGGAACCTTGTCCAACTCCAGACCAGCTCCCTCCGGCACTGTCTCCATCTCGCCAGCAACAGGAGGGTTGAACGAAAGCTCGCTCGGTGTCAGATCATAACTGACAAGGCTGTCGCTGCTTGAATCGTCATGCTGCGGCTGGAACCCTGCGCCATGCGAGGTAGATGGTGGCTGAAGATGGCCAGACAAGACAAGCTTGAGCTGCTCTACCGAGGTCACCTGCTCCTTACCATCACTTGTGTTGGTCCGGGCTGGCGAGTGGCCACTACGCAAGCTCGACTTTCGTAGACCCGCAGGCGATGTGGAAGGACGGAGGTTCGTCTTGCTGCCGTGAGGAGACATGCGGTCTGGACGAAGACCGTTGCCGTTGACTGCAAGGCCTCCGCCAGTTCCATTACGGGTGCCAGTGGTTCGCGACCCGGCGAGAGAGGCGGATTTGCTAGTATTCTGAACAGCTGCCAAGACAATATCACGGCTCCACTCGTTATGCATTTGCTCGCGAACATGGTCTGGAACCCTGTTCTCCGTCTCGATGGTTGGGATCGCGTTCAGGTTAACACCCAGCATGGGGTGAGTAAAGCTCCTGCCGGGGCTAGCGGCCGGGCTCGTAGGCGGCGAGGTAGTCAACGTCTGATAGCCAGCGCACACCGCATCAACCAATGCGTCTCGCTCATCAAAGGGAAGCAGCGCTTCGGATTCGATCTCCTTGAGCGGTAACCTTGGCTGCGGCCGGGCCATACCAGGTGTCCCCACCAGCTCCATCACAGGAACCGGAACGTTGATGCCTTCCACCCAGAAGTTCTTGCTGCGGCGGCGCACAATCTCGTTGTGGATAGCTCTCCCAACAGGCACGCCGTCGAACTCGAACTTCTCGGTCAAGATCCACAGATAGCCATGGACCAAGCTGCCGATGCGAACCTTTTGAATCGGCGTCTCGGCATCTTGGATATCCTCCTGGAGCCGGAAGATCATGGGCAGACCATATCTGACAGAGTTGATGCCGAGCCGGTTGACCAACTTGGCGAGCAGAACATGAAGCAAAACCATGTCAGTCTCGTAGTCGACATACTGGACAGCATTGTCATATATGGCAAGATGGATGAGCTGCAGGAATTGTGACCGTGGCGTCTTGACCGGCTTCTCCCGAGCAGAAGCGCTCGAGACGGCCCTCCTCGCAAGCGATGCCGCCTGAGCATCCCTGTTCTTCACGGCCGATCTCGCCGTCTCATCGCGGACCTTCCCATCGGCGCTGGTGGTCTCTCGTTCAAGCCAGGTCACCAAAGCATCGGCATATGCCTTGCGCACGAGTCCATCCGGATCCCTCAGCAGCCATTGAGTGCCATCCCATGTGGAAACAGGCACGTGGTTTCTGGAAAGCCCGACATTGCCACTCATCTTGCTCCTCGGATTTGCCACCAGCAGAATAGACTTGATGGCTCTCAGAGCTGCTATCTTTGCAACGGTAAGAGCGAAGAGAGAGTCGATGTGCTGCTCGTCGGCAAGCGCGTTCGCCGATGACCCAGGGGTTCCGTCCACCTTCTCGCCCTGTGGAGATCCAGAAATACTATTCGACCTCGCAGGCTTGAGTTTGGCAAGAATTGCAGCGATCATATCAGAGATCTGGTCCGCGTAGTAAACATGCGTGGCCAAGTCTCCTATGCACTCTTGCAGTCGAAGAAGCAGGTTCTTGCGCTCGGCGGCCGCTCGATCAAGCTTCTCGGCAAACTCGAGAGTCACCGGCGAACGCGGGTCTGGCATGCCGGGCTTGAGAGGCTCGCTTCTCATGCTGTTTGGGTCCCCTGGCATCTGAACGAGCCGTCGAATGTGAGCAATGAACTGAAGCAGAATATCCATAACACTAAGGCCGATCAGGTTGATGTCAGACCGCAGAAGTGCGCCGATGATGGCCGCCATCACGATATGCTGCTCCAGGGTTTCATCGGTCAGCGGATATGAAGCGAGTGTATCCATTGCTGTTATCAGGATGGTAAATCGATCGGCCACCGGCGTCCAGCGAGCAGCCAGCAAGAAGATCTTGATGGCCCACCCGCTGTCCTTTCCGTGCATATCGGTCCTCACCACCGGCTCGCGTTGGCTCACTCGCTCCTCGATAAATTTCAACACAGCCAGAGTTGCCGCATGGATCTGGGGCCGGTTTGGGGCCACAAAGATCTCCTTGAGGCATTGCATGGCCAGAACACCAATATCCTCCTCTGCCAGCTTGTCCGCGTCGACAGCCGTCCCGGCAAGCGCAATAGGGTTTGGCTCACCATCTGTCCCGGCTGTTTGCACTGTAGCGATACTCGTCCGCCTCCTTAGCAGTGGCGAGCCTCCTATCTTGTCGTCCATTTCTGCTCGCTGGTGCAGAATATCCAAAAAGTCTTCATTATCCGTCCAGAGATTCTCCAATACCATGGGAATAGCCACGCTGTATTGCTGAGTAGTGACCGAGGACAGGGCCTCGGACGAGGCAACGCTCTTGATGGCTTCCAGACCCGAGTTCCTCCACCGCAGCGCCAATGGCTTACTAGGCTCGAGCTTGCCGGGGATCGCACGGGTTGAGGCCAAGGAGGCATATCGCTGAACTATAGACAGATATTGGCGGAGATAGGCCTGGTCACCCAGCAGCGAAGTTGGGTCGTGATGCTCGCAAAATGCCTCAAACGTGGGGAGGGACGACTCGACCATTGTGATATCATTGGACTTGAGTATTTGGTCGAGGATGTTGAGAACGCATGACGCAAACAGGGGAAGATCCTTGGGCGTCTTTTCGATCAAGGCCGTGAGGATGCCGAGCGTCACTTGGACATTTCTGTAAGCATCTTGTTAGCTTCCAACCCGTGTTTTCGAGCGACAGTGTTGTCCGAAACCCACCCTATCCTCAGCCGGTATACATCGCTGGCTGTTTTCTTCTCCAGAAAGCTGCCAACTTTCTGGATCTTGGAGCGCCGTGATTGGGCATAGAATAGCAGGTAACTGAGCTCGCTCGAATTGGGCTTGACGTCAACAGCTCCCTTGGCTGTTCGCGGGTAGCACTTCAAGACGAGGACCTGATGCTTCGGCCGACACTTTTGCTGGATGGTATTCATGTTGGGTGAGAAGGCGTCGAGAGATGCCTGCCGTCTCTCGAGTGCGGGTGCGGGTGCGGGTGCGGGTGCAGGAGGCTATCGTGGGATTACTTATGACGAAGTATCGAGTTTCCGTGTCCGAGGGGTCTGGCAAGTTCGGTTCGGTTCGTTTCGGGCGACGCGACAGCAAGACTTGATCCCCAGCGGTCCTGAACTGATCAATGCAACTTGCACAGTCAAGTCCAGTGAAGGACGCGTGTTTGTTTCCAGCTGCCGAATGTCATGGGCGCAATTTTACCTGAAGAGGCAGGCAGGATGGGGGTCGGGGGAGCTGACAGAGAGAGTGGGAAGGGGGTGCCTGTGCGCCTGGTAATCAACGTGTCCAACCATGCAGTCAGAGGGCGTCAAAAGTCACTCCGCTAAGAGATTGGGCCAAGGGGTACATAAATTTCCCAGCAACCCAACCGAACCGTCAACCGACGAGCCGGGACAGCCCCTGTCAGACGGACGCGGCCAACAGCCTCGACAAGAGAACAAAGAAAGTCTACTGCGTATAAATAGCCTTGCTGAGTTTTACCCTGGAGTGCTTGTTGATGAACTGGAACTGAGATTGTATGATGGCGATCACGATAGCCGAATAATGATGATGTGGCTGATTGGGACGAGCCAATTTGGAGAATGCGCTCTTCTGTTCGTTTGTTATTAGCACCCGGCTGTGGGATGCTCAGACGGAGATTTTGCGTTCTTAGAACCTCCGAAATGCCGCTTGCTGGAAGAATACCACAATGCCAACGACTGCGCCCCAATTTGAACTCTCCTTCGGTGGAGATTCTGTTGTTGACGATATTGCAGCTATTCACTGTTGTTTGCAATCACCCGCCTGGTGCCATGTGTCCAATGCTGGGCCTCCAATGGCACTCCCCACGCCGACTCATGCCACAGCTGCATGACGGATGGTGCTCATCAGATGCCGCTAGCCACCCTGACAAGTACGACAAGTGACATCAGCGCCAGCCCAAGATGGTCTCGAATCTTGGGCGCGTGTGGCATCCCATCACGTGCTGTCCATCACTCATGTCTCGGTGCGACAGTCGCTCTGTTGAGCTTCGAGTTTCACTCTTGCTTGTCCTCGTCCTCTGTGAAAGTCCACAGATTTGGTGTCAGTCCTCAGCAGTGTAGAGTTGTAACCACCTGGGCAGGATGCAAATAACAACAGCCTTTTCGCAATACTTGCTGATTCTACCTTATCCATTGAACTTGTCGGTGTCGGTGTCCCTCAGTGCGCCGAAGAACTTCCTTCTACGGCTTCTAGTCCCCGTAGTGGGGGTCTGTCCCGCACCGTTCAGCCTTACGGGCAACGGAGCCAAGCATGGATGGCCCCACATTGTCTCCGGATGTCGACCAACGGGATGTTGTCGCGAGGAATACGATGGACGTCTTCTCTGTGGTACATGAGGTGTAGTTAGGGTTGTTAAGGGCTCGCTGGCCATTCTGTGGACAAGCATCATGTACCTCGAGGCTGTAGAAAAATACAGGGATGGAGGCATAATGTCGGTGTTGGATAGGATTTCCCTCCTTACGCGTCGTTTTTCTCTTGGGGACTTTGGATCTACTTGGATTCACACCCCAGCATAGCACCGCCCGTTCGCGGTCGGAGGGGACGGATATAAATCAAGTTGACCTGACTGCCTCAGAGAAATCAACAACCCAGACTGTATGCTCCCATCTCTCATCTCAGATTCTGCAGCGCATTCGCCATGATATTCTCCCGAGGCTGGCTTCCGGGCCTCACTGCTTGCCTTCTATCATGTTCCCCTTTATTGACTTCGGCCTCCAGCTCCCACAAACAACAGTGCAAGACCATCCCCGGCACGCCAGACTGGCCATCGCCAGCTTCTTGGAAGCGTCTCAATGAGTCACTCGCCGGACGACTGCTACAGCCTCCTCCTCCAGGAGCTGTCTGCCATCCCGGACAGCCGACCTACGACGCCGGAGAATGTCCCAACCTCCTTGCCGACTGGTCAAAACTCGACTACCACCATACCAACCCCGTCTCAACCTACTGGAACAACTGGAGCAATGATACCTGTCTTCCTTATCCGGGTTATCCATGCAGCGGTCAGGGATATCCTCTCTTCGTTGTCAACGCGACCACGGCCCGGCATGTCCAACTAGGCGTTCGGTTTGCAAAGAAACACAACATTCGTCTCGTGGTCAAGAACACAGGTCATGATTTTATCGGCCGCTCCAGTGCCCCTAATTCGCTTTCGATTTGGGTTCATAGCCTGAAAGACTGGAAATACCATGGGGAAGGATTCCGTCCTAAGAGGTGCAAGACCACTCTCCCGGGGACATACCTGACAGCAGGCAGTGGCAGCCAAATGTGGGATATCTACACCCGCCTTGACGAGATGAACCAAACCATTGTTGGCGGCGGTGGCAAAACAGTTGCCCTCGGTGGTTACCTCACCGGCGGTGGGCACTCCTTACTCTCTCCCTACTACGGCATGGCAGCAGACCACGTTGTCGAAATCGAAGCCGTGACCCCATCAGGCGAAGTCATCACCGCCAACTCTTGCCAAAACCAAGACCTTTTCTGGGCCATCCTCGGCGTAAGCCCCCCTTTCCCCCCTTAACCCACCTCAGCTGACCCATTCCCCCCCTCCAGGGCGGCGGCTCAACCTTTGCAATCCCTACCCTCTTCACCCTCAAAACCCACCCCACCCCCAGCCTCTCCCACCTCAACATCCTCATCATCACCCCCCTCCCCAACACCTCTTCCATCATCTTCCCCCTCCAAGCCTATATAACCTCACAATTCCCCTCTTTATCCACCTCCGGCCTCTCAGGCTACGCCTTCCTCCTCCCCCCCTCCACCCCCTTCCCTCTCTTCCCCAACATCACCAACGGCATAGGCGGATTCTTCATGTCCTGCGTCGTCCTCCAATCCTCCCCCTCCTCCTTCCCGCAAGACATCCTCTCCCTCTGGGACCCCGTCCTATCCCACATCAACACCACCTTCCCCCTCTCCGCCAACAACTTCACCACCCTCACAATCCCCACCTCCTATCCTTCCTTCCTCGCCTACTTCGCCGCCCACCACGACACAACCCCCGCCGGCACAAACATCCTCCCCGGCGGCCGCCTCCTCGACGCGCCCGCCCTAACGCGCAACCTAACCGCCCTCTCGGAAACATACTCCTCCCTCTCCCGAGGCCCCCAGCCGGCGAGCAGCATCATCGCCGCACATTTGGTCTCCGGACCAGGCGTGCACACCCACCCGAACCGGTTCAAAACCAGCCTTCTCCCCTCCTGGAGGACGAGCTATCTCCACGTTGGTGCGTTTTCCTTCCATCTCAGCAATCATCGGTGGCATTGCGCTGACAGGGGTAGTCTTCGGCGAGTTCTTCCCCCCCCTCAACGAAACCGCAAAATCCGAGGCCTACGCACGAGTGCTGGGAAAAGACGAAATCATCAAACAGCTCGCCCCGGATACGGGCGCGTACATGAACGAGGTTCGTCATCATACTCTTCTTCTACATATTCGACTCCCCCACCCAACCATTAGATCAGCTTTTACTTTCGGAGTGAGGGGGTGGTGCGTTAAAAAAAAATTAAAAAAAGAATAAAGAAAAAAAAAAGGTCACTTGTTGCCGAGCGAAAAAAACATACTTCAGGGGGCTTTTTCTTGGCATTCAGGGGTAATCAACACAACCAAAACACACTGACACCATCAAAAAAAAAACAGGCAAGCCCAATCGAAGAAAAAGGCTGGCAGCAAAGACTCTGGGGAGAAAACTACGACCGACTGTAAGGATTTTTTTAATAACCCCTCCCCAAAATGCCCACAAATACTGACACAACATACCTAGCAAACGCATCAAGCGCACCGTCGACCCCACCGACGTCTTCTGGTGCACCCCCTGCGTAGGCAACGAGCACTGGAAACAAGTTGGAGACCGTCTCTGCCGCGTTTAACGATAGTCACATACCTACATCTCATGTCTCAAGACGCGTGAAGTGCTCTTGGTAATGGTTATGATACAATTCCAACCGTATAATCTCTCTATCAGCCTACTGTGTTGTGGTAATAATCCCCCTTCACCAATAGAAAAAATCTCAACTCTACCTACACAGCCAGTTTCATTGTATCACTAGACGCGCTGTTTCCTCCCGTAATATACTCGACCAAAAATGCCGTGGTCTCAGTCATTGATCCGTCCCTGTCCCACTCCCGCCGACAGCCTTCAGAAGCTGCTAAACAATACGTGATTAACCCTCTCCAATCGTTCATGCTTCCCTCTTCATATAAATGCCCGAGTCCCGGCACTACTTGGCGTCCCTTCTCTCAACTTCCCACTGGGGCGGTGACTAAGCCCTCGTCCATTATACCCCGACACAGGCCCAAACTGCTTCTGTACTGCTGCTGTCAAGCCCGGGCTCGAACTAATCGATGGCGCAGTCGTTGACCTTCCCGTGCCGGGCCGTGAAATCTTCAACGGAGAAGGCCGCAATGCACTCCGAGCAGGGATGGGGGGTGGCCCACCGGGGCTGTCATTTTCCTGAAGCGTCTTACCCATGGCTGACGGTGGTGTAGTTCGCTTGACAGACCTCTGAGTAGGAAACAGTTTCAAAATGTTTGGCTCTACAGGCGCAAGTGGCGTCGTAGGAAGCGTTGGCTTTCGCGTAGGAAGCTCAAAATAGTCGGCGTCGTCATCATTGTAAAGTTGGGCGGCCTCCCGAATATGCCCCCGAGAAAAGTTCTTGGGCATGGTTGGCAAGGCAAACTCAACCTCTGCAGGCTTGATAGGGATGGGCGACGATTCGAGTTTGGCTATGTTGGCTGATAACCACGTCTTCCAGTCCACCGAGCTGACCGATGAGCTCTCTCGATAGCCGGCGGGTTGGTACGTGACTGGGGGCTGTGGTAGATGACCACCCACAACCTTTGAATCTTGATCGCTTGTGCTGCCACCCAATGTCGCATAGGCCGGGACTGTTTCCGCCTCGTCTGTTGAGTATATGCTCTCCGTATAATCCTCATCCTTCTCGGAACCCGAGTCGGTTCCCGATCGTCGGCCCTTCCCCTGTGGAGCACGTATCTGCGTGCAGTCGTCTGACTCCAGACTGTTAGAGATGTGGACAGGAACTGGTCGATTCCAAACCCTCTGATCTTCCTGCATCGTCCGCTGAAGAGCTTGGCGGTAAGGACTGCCTGTTCTGAATAAATGAGAGTTGGGGCTTCCCAAAGGCCCCAAATCTCCCTTGGAACCACTTCTCTCTGCTGTCGAGTCCTCATGATATGTTGTCGGTGCAAACAATGGCAATCCGTCTTTTCCCGATGGCTCAGGAATTCCCGTCACAGACCCATCGCTGTCTGTGGAACCAAGGATTGATCTCCCAACGTGGAAGGCGGCGCAGATTCCCATGGCTTCTCTCCTAGCTTTGTCGGCATACCCACGGTGAGAGCCGGCGATTCCTTGGATACCAAGCCTCTGTCTGTCGCCAGGATTGGTTTTCCGTGAGACACGGGTGGGAGTGTCAGGTAAATCATCCGGGGTGTTTGTGCTCTCCTTGTTTCCCCCAAGCTGTGATACTACTGGTGTTGACTCTGGATCCATGACGGGAATAACTGGTGCAGTCTCCCGAAAATCCCAAGCTGCCCTAGGTTGCTGTTCGACTGCTTGTGTGACTTGCTCATTGAGAGTTTTCATTCGTTTCACCAAAGCTGAGTAGACGCGTTGGCTGTCGACAGTCACTGTGTCAGGTATGGCACTGATAGTGCTGCCGTTTGTCGGCTGTTCGAATAGGCGAGCATCCAACGCCTTTCTTCTGACAGAAGAGGAAGGGGCGTGCATGCCATTCTCCTTGATAACGGAAAGGCGCTGCCTCTCCCACTCCCTCCACTGCTGCTGTTGTTGACTTGTCAGTGTACTGGGGCCAGAGTGTACCCAGCTTGTCAAAGCAGACTCTTCCGAGACCTGGCGGTCTCTCTGACTTTCGCTCCTGAGACTTTCCAGGCTGCCCTTGTTGGAGTGATGAAGATTTGGCGGTACATTTTGGAGGGAAGGAATTTTGGACGGGACGTTGTGAATCGGTCTCCAGTCATAGTCGTTCTGGACATCATCTTCAGTGTTCAACATATGGGTTATAGCGTTTCCGAAGCTCTCAATCACGTGTGTCTTTTGGGCTTCGATGTGCTGGCTCGGAATAGACGGCGGTTCTTCCTCGGACCTGGATAGACTGAAGAAACTCTTGAGCTTGGTCCTGAAAGATTTGGAAACCTTCCTAGCTTTGTGTTTGAGGCCGTCTGGCTTCTCGACCAGAGCAGGCGGCGCCTTCTCTGGTGGCGGTGACTCTGAGCTGTTGCTGCTGCTGCGAAGCGACTTGCGCATCCCTGATCCGCCCCTTCGACTCCTTGACCCAAACAGTACTGCCGACTTGGGACCGGGAGGGTTATTGTTGCCATGCTCAGCTGCCTCAGACAACTCATCCTCTACATCAGAAGCTTCCATCACACATGCAACCCTTGTGCTGTTATCACGACGGCTGCTAGACCCGGACCGAAGAAGGTGCCGATTTCGAAGAAAGCTCATTGACTTTGGGGCTCGCAGCTGTGGAACGGACATTTCTACCTTTGGTTGCTTCGGCTCGGAGTGAAAGAGTCGGCGGGTTTGTGACCCGGGCAACGGCAGCGAGTTGAGAGACTTCCCATTCATGACTGGTGTGGGAGTGTCTTGATCCCGTCTGATACTTTGAGTCTCGGAGCTAAACATCGATCTAGACCTGCGAAGACGGCGGTATGATGATGGAGCCGAGGCTTTGTCGTCTTCAGGGGTATAGCTTTCCTCCTCGGCTGCCATGACGTTCAGGTAGTCGGCCGCCATCACGGTCACGGGAACTGGAGGTGGTGCCCTGCGTGGTTGGTGAGATGACTGGCTCGGCAGTTGAATGTCGTTTCCGAGAATGTAGCTTTGGACGCTGTGGCCGCCACAATCATCGTGCATAGCAATGAAGTCTGACTTGTGGTCTCTCAAGGTGGTTCCCGCCTCGGCCCCGAGTGCGCCTGCCGATTTCTTCCCTTGCACAGAACATGGGCCCACGAAACGCACACTCTGCTGACGGCGAAGGCCTTGTTCGCCCTCACGGTTGAGTGGAAAGGAGCCAATGTCATCCCGGCCCTGGCTGTTGCGTTTGGATCCCTGGCGGGTGGGTAGTGATTCGGGGGTCGGGGGAAAGAGGGACATCTCTGCGTTCGCTCGGTTTTGTGCCCGGGTGTAGGCTTGACAGGCAGCGATCTGGGCGTCCCGCTGGGCCAATGCAGGATCAATGTGTTCTAGCTGGACCCCACGTGTCGAAGAGGTAGACTTGCGGCGTTTGAGATCCGAGCTGGACTTGAGGCTGCGTCGACGCAGCATCGGAGATGCTGGTGACCTGCCGTCCCGTTAAGGCGAGGAAGAGAGTGAAGATGGAAGAAGAATGGTTGAACAAGACTAAAACTGTGCAATGAATCCTATATCTGTCTGGCGGAAGATGAGATACTTGAGCGACTGTGGCTTCATACGAACAAGCTGTAGATGGGCAACAAGTCTTCGTACGAGGTTGCGTTGTGCTATGGTGGGAGAAAGGGAACAGACGAGACAGCAGGGCAGCCGACAACCACAGAAACAACGATGTCGTCGACGGGCACCTGCAGTCGGAACTCATTCCTGAGAATGGTACTTTCCTGTTCGGCTGTTTCCTTCATGGCCGGGAAGGTGCACCATGAGAACAGGGACCTATGTACCTGCCTCAAGGTTGGTGTCAGCGAATCCCACATCTCTCCAAGGGAAGGCGGGAACAGAGACAAATAAGAAATAGGAAGGAAAGTGTCACCAAGAAGGGGCAGATGCAGATGATACGAAACACCATAATTATCTGAATAAAAGCTCAAGAATTGCAATCTCATAACGGGTGAGCATGATTACTACTCCTCAGATGCGAATCATCCCGACTTATCAATGCGGTCCTATGTGTCGTGTACAGTACATGATAAACTCCCGACGGCCGCAAAATGCTTGCCCATACCCTATACCAGAAAACCATCCCCCATCCCATGAACCATTGCAACCCAAAAAACAGAAACAAATAAATGATACGGAAACAGCTGTTCGCTACGACGCTGGCAGCAGATAAACAGACAAGATCGCCCTCGTCAATACTTAAGCGAGCTCCTCAAGGAACTCCTTGAGCTCCTCATCCACCATCTCGTGGATCTTCTTGGAGAACTTGCGGGCCTTCTCGGAGAGGGAAGAGACACCCTTCACGACCTGGCCCGAGATGACATCGTACTCGTTCTCGATAAGCTCCTCAAGCTTGGAGACATCAAAGTCAGCCTTGGTGCCCTCGGTCTTCTTGACCTTGTAGCCGCCAGCCTCGACGATGGCAGTGTAGTTGTTGCAGCCGGCACCGTTCCAGGCGAGGAGGTTGGGGGTGCCCTTGGGCATGTCGGTGAGGGCATCCTCAGTGGCGATCTTGAGAAGGTTGTCCTTGAGCTTCTCGGGGGTGATGGGAGCAAGAGAGTACTCAGAGTCGGTGGCGGGCTGGAGAGAAAGGTAGTAGGCCAAGAGACCAGCGATATGGGGAGAGGCCATGGAAGTGCCGGAGATGGTGTTGGTGGCGTACTTGCTGCCGATCCAGGTGGAAAGAATGCTGAGACCGGGGGCGAAGATATCAGTGCACTTGCCGTAGTTGGAGAAGTAGGCACGGCTGTCATCAATGCCAGAGGCACCGACCGTGACGGCCTTGGCAGCAGCAGCTGGCGAGTAGTTGCAGGCATCAGCGTTGTCGTTGCCGGCGGCGACGGCGAAGTGAATGCCGACAGAGACGGCGGCGTTCACAGTGTCATCGAGAGTCTTGGTCTTGCCACCACCAAGAGACATGTTGGCGACGGAGCCCTTGAAGCCCTTGCGCTTGCCATCCTTGGCCTCCTTGACGGCCTGGATGTGAGACTTGGCAGCCCACTCCACACCGGCGACGACATCAGACATGGTGCCGGAGCCGTTAGAGCGAAGGACCTTGACGGCATAGACGTTGGCCTTCTTGGCGACACCATACTTCTTGCCGGCGATGGTGCCGGAGCAGTGGGTGCCGTGGCCATTGCCATCGACATCGGCATCACCAGAGGGGATGGTCTTGCCCCACTTGGCACGGCCATCGAAATCGACGTGGTCGACGTTGGTGCCAGTGTCAATAACGTAGGCATCAACACCCTCACCACCCTCAGCGGCGTACAAGTACTTGTTGAAGGTGGAGAAGCCCAGAGTATCACGGTGAGAGATACGAGCCAGACCCCAAGGGGCGGCCTTCTCAATCTCGCTGTCGCACTTGGCATCCTCAATCACACGCATGGTGTGGACAATGCTGTCACGCTCGATGTACTCGACCTGTTTGCGAATCTGTTAGTGATTGTCGAGAGGAAATTGGAGCATGGGGGGAAAGCTTACATCAGGGTGCCTCCGGACCTTCTCGATGGTCTCCTCATCGAAGTGGCCAGCATAACCAAGGAACTCGGAGCCGACCTTGTAGGTGTGCTTCAGGCCGTGGAAGACATCGTCAACCAGAGGGAACTGACCACGCTTCTTGAGGTCTATCCGCTCGTTCTCACGAGTGGTGTGGAGCTCCTGGATCCAAGTGTGGTGATCCGACACCTTCTCCTCAGTTACGTGCTTCTTGAACTTGACAATGTAGGCATTTGGGATGACCTCGGCGTTGGCAGAGGAAAGAATGGGCGCAGCCTCGCCATGGATGGTTTCAATCGAAGCACTTGGCGCCGCGGCAGCGGCGGCCGCGAGCGAGAGAATGGCGTAGCCCTTCATGATTGCGGGCAATTGTGGGGGTGACAAAGTCGATGAACCTGCGACTTGAAAAGATGGGGGAAAAGGAAGAAGACCCAGCTACGATGTCTTCGTCGATGGGCTGGGTGACTGTTGCGACGGTGATGGGAGATGGATGATGGAGGAGTGAGAGAGAGGAAGAGGGAGCGAGCTCGGCATGGAATGGATGGGGAGGCTGGGTCCTGATAAAGACGTGGGCGGCGGCTGCGTAAGACCAACGCCTGCGGTTGCCTCAGGGAAGCCCCTAGCTCGTTAGTGCTCAGGCGGAGCGGTGCAGCAGGACCCGAGAGCCGGGGGGGTTGACTCTCCACCCTGAACCGAAAATGGCTTAGCAAAAGGTGGAGCAGCCAATGGGATGACCGTTGCCCTCCCCCACAGGGGCGAAATGCAGCTGTTGAGTGGCCTTGCGTGCGATAAGCGTGCCATCTGCCGTTGTTTGCCAGGCTTATCAGTTGCGTCTTCACCTCTGAGAATGACCACAAGGACAGCCATGGGAGTATCAAGGACAGCATAAAACACATCATCTTTGCCACGTTTTAATCCGATTGTCCTCTCTTGTCTACGTGCTCTACATGGCGGCTAGTTAACTCAACGGGCTTCCAGCGCCTGTTGAAAACCAACAATGCCCGCCCGTGGTCCAGCTGCTGCTGTTCCCTCTGTGCCGGATGAACAGCTTCCTTCTGGGCTTACCGCCTTGCAGCCCTGGTTCGAGGACCCCTGGCCCGACTGTCACTTGATTCGCGGAAGCTCTCTTGGAGCTCCAAGCTGTTCGACATCAAGGCACAGCGCATCAACACGACACTGCTCCTGCTTCCGATGCTGCTGTGGTCCTCAACCGCTGTCCTTATCCAACCAGCCTGGGCGAGGCTCACCGCGACGAGATCTGGGGTCGGCCACAGCGAAGCGGATTGACTGCCTTGTCAGATCCCCTGTCAGGAACGTCACGCTTGGAGCTCTCCGACGATGCCAAGGTGCCAGCCAGCGCGGGGATCTCCACCCAAACTGGAACTGGTCATGAGTCCCCAGCACGTGCCGGGTCTTGTATCGTTTGGGGACGTCTGACTCGACCGGTCCCGACCACCTCACGCTTCCCTTCCTGTTCCTGGGGTTGCCTTCGCTGTTGAGATAACATGGAATAATGAGAAATGCATCCCCTGTTTTAGTCCGGATTGATTGCAGTGGTGCACCACCGAGGTTTGAGCCAATATCGGTGACCTATAGGTAGCAGCTTACGCCGTGACTTGCAACCTTGATAGACAACCAGTTCACCGATTACATCATACCTTGCTCAACTGAGCAAACCAGCGCATTCGTCTCACAGCTGGTATGTTGGCTGGCACATCGAACAAACCGCTTGCAAAACTTGGATAAAAGGCAGCAGTTTGTAATGAAGCCGTCATTAGATAGTATTCTCATGGTTCACCTCACAGGCAACACTTCGCAACACGCAGCCTGTCCCTTGGTGAACCTCCGACGCGGGTCGCTGTGGAGACCACTTTGACCGTGGTTTATCGCCTTATCTAGCCACCTTATCCACACAGCTGACGGGCGTGACTCCAACTGCAACCCCTCAATCCCCTCACGGAGACTCTTGCCTCCCTCGTGGTGGATCAACACCATGTGTACACTCCAACCCTGGTATTTTTGTTAGCGCGGGACTTCATGATATTTCCCACCCCCAGAACCTCATCCACAACCAATTTTTACGGTGAAAAAAGGGCATCGTAAGATTCTTCTTACTTTTTAGATTATCATCGTCCAAGTGAGTGTATTATTTTGGCGTTCTGAGGGCGGATGTTGTAGATATTTGAAAATCTGATCTTGACCCCTGTGACTGACCACTATGTGTCTATTGTCAAGGGAACTTTGCTGAACATAGAGGGGGCTAAGCAATTCCGGGTTGTAACTGTGTTTTCTGGCATCCTGACGACGCTTCGGGCAATATCCAGCAACATGTTCCAGACTCCGTGACTCCCTTCTCCAATTCTGAAACCCCAATCCAATCGTTGGCCGTCGGAACCAGAACACAGCAGAGGCTTGTGATTCTGCGATTTCCACGACATCTTGCATTGCATGTAATATTATTGCCCCGTAGACAGAGTGTGAGTGAGGCGGCATACCAAACGGATACTGAGATAGACTCTACATTCAAGGTGATACGGTATCTATGGGGGACTTTTAAAGGTTGTAGGCATGGATTTCGGATGCTCCGGGGAAGCACTTCAGCGAGTCCATGATTGGATATCTTGGGTGACAGCTACCATATACCGAGGCCCCGTGCCGCAGCATTTGAAAGATTGACATCAACTAGGAGCAGTTTATAGACTGTGAAAGGAAAAATCATACCATTCTCCAGGGCTGAGAAACCCAGAAGTCTCTTTTTTGTGCTCTTTCAGAACATGTCTCCAAGGCAGACCAAACAGCCACTTCAGTTACACCCGTCTCAGCCCCACTCACAAGTCCCACTGTTTCAGTGGTGCACCGCCACAGGACCCCTCCAAATGGATCCTTCAGGTGAATTGGATTCGGCCTTCACCAGCGCTGATGTGGCCCTGCAAGGCAGCTCCAGAACAGTGGACAAGCTCGAGGCTGAAGGCTTCTAGATAGGAGCAGAAGCCTCCACGACCCAACCACCAGCTCACCGGCACTCACTTGGCTCCTTTCCATGAGGGAAGCTCTTTGCTTTGTATTTTGATCTCATTCTTTTGGCATCTTACCAATTATATCGCCTAGCCGTCGACCTTGGCCTTGGCCGCGAGAAACATCGGATTCGGTACTCGTATGCGGCGGAGGTACCGCTGACGATGCTGGCGTAAGCTCTGTGGTGAATATTAGCACCAACGGAAAGCATGCACATGACAGCTCTCTAAGGTTTTACGACGGCGGATTAATACACAAAACTGCGAAACCTCGATGGGATATTCGAGCGCAGACAGACTTTCATAAAGAAGAAAAGCGATTGGGCTATTCCCCCACCAGTGGTCCCCAATATGCTTGCCGTGCGCTCTCGACGTTATCGATCGTCGACTTCGGCTTCGACCGTCCAAACATCGAAAGCCGCCGAGGTCCTCCAGCGTCTGCTTCGACAACTCTCCGAGACAGCAAACTCCCGCTCTGCCGATGGGTACCCCGAAATCGAGGATCTGCTCGAGCAGATCCGCCAGATACACCAGCACGTTGCTGCCGCGCAACCGCCTTCCCAACCTCAAGACGACTTTCGACACTTGAACGGCTTCCAGACCCTCCTCGAAGTTTTGCGATCGTTCTCGGGCTTTTATAACATACAAAAAAGAAGCAAAGACGAGAGGAGGGGAATATTTGATTTGCTTCACGTCATTCTGGCGACTGTCTCTGCCGCATTCAGGGGCCATCCGGGAAACAGGAGGTACTTCCAAGATAGAGTCGATGGCGGAGGATGGGAGTCTCTGGAACAAATAATTGCCAGCATTGGTGTGGGAGGCGGAGAATCAGACTTGTGGACAAACTGTCAATTGTTTGGGAAGCTGCTATCGTTCGCCCTGGACGACCAGCGGCTTGATGAGCTCTGTCGTTCTGTGGCTTCGTCCTCGACGGCATCTCGGCCTACATCCGCCCCTGGGACGGAGGATCAAGGAGAGTCACCGACACTGATTGGGGACAATACAAAAGAGAGCCAGGGCCAGCTTGACAGTTTAGAAGCTATCGAGGCCAGGCTTGCACAGATTCTAGGGCCCAACACGGTGGTTCAGAATGCCGAGATTATACGGACGGTCGTGGGCTTTTGGGAATCAATACCGAGAACCAAAGGGGCACCGCCAGATTTGGCTTCGATGATCGTCTTGATAACGCTGTCGTCTGTTGGTTCGGCCTCTCTTTTCAACCTCACGGCATTACATGGAACCGGCATGCTCTCCAGACTATTGCGACTGCTGTTCTCTAGTGAGCGCATTCTTACCGAGGCCGAGACAAAAAAGGCGTTGCCCCTGAGCAAATCGCTCATGTACCTTGGGGTAGACCAGCTGGCTGATGCGCAGTTTTTACTCTGCAATCGGGACGAGGATGTCTCTGAATTTTGTCTCGACATGACGGAAAAGAACAACGGGCCACCTTTCATCCAGTTTGACCTGTCACTTCACGGTCATTCTTCCGTTGAACTGCCCAACCTCGGGCGACCTTTTCCACCCCATTCGTCAGCCGGATACACTTTTGCTGCCTGGGTCCGTGTCGACAGATTCGATCCCCATTCGCACACCACACTCTTTGGAGTATTCGACTCTACGCAGACCTGCTTTCTGCTGGCTTACCTCGAGAGGGACACCAAAAACTTCATTCTGCAAACATCTGTTACCTCGTCCCGTCCCAGTGTTCGGTTCAAGACAGTTTCTTTCAAGGAGAAGCGGTGGTATCACATGGCCATCGTGCACCGCCGGCCCAAGGCACTCGCTGCAAGCAAGGCCAGCCTCTATGTCAACGGGGAATTTGCAGAGCAGATACGGTCGGCTTATCCAAACCCACCTCCCATCTCCAACACGAGCACTGAGAGCTTCGCTTCGTTTGCGTCAAGCAGTCACAAAACAAATCCAGTACAGGCATTCCTGGGCACACCCCGTGATCTTGCGACCCAGGTTGGCCCTGGTCTTGTGCATTCGAAATGGTCCCTTGCCTCTGCTCAAATGTTTGAGGATGTCCTGAGCGATGATTTTCTTGCGGTGCATTACCGACTTGGACCACGGTATCAGGGTAACTTTCAAGACTGCCTTGGAGGGTTTCAGACGTATGAGGCCTCGGCCGCTCTTGGACTCCGTAACGAGCTGTTCCATCCCGGCAAGGATGAGAACTCGGATATCCTCAGAGCTATCAGAGATAAGGCTAGCTCCATTGTGCCCGAACAGAAAGTATTGCTCAGCATTCTCCCTAGGGCGGTGTTCCGTACCGATGGCAAGTTCATGGACTCGTCGCTCTTTCGGTCACTGTCGAGGAACTCGGCCGGCAGTTTGTTCCATACTACCACTAAGACGGGAGTCCCTGTTGCGATCAACGCTGCTGTTCCGTGTATCAATGATGCGCTAATCAGAATGAACGGAGTATCGCTTCTCGTTGGCGACCCAGTCTTGACCACGCCGTATCACTTTGATGACAATTTCTGGCGACTTGGTGGCTTCACACCTGTGGTGCTGAAGCTAGTTGAGCGCGCCACAACCCCTCAGGATCTCCTCCGGTCTGTCGAGATGACCTTTCATTGTATCGAAAAGAGCTGGCGAAACAGTGAGGCCATGGAGAGGGACAACGGATATGCTATCTTGAGCATGCTTCTGCGGGCCAAGCTCGGATACGGAATTCCGGCTTCAGACAGCGTCTCACAGTCGTGGCGGCTTGCCGTCACGAACGAGGCAAGAGACAGGCTCAGCTTCCAGCTCTTGAGCTTGGTCCTCAGCTTCGTGGGTTACAAACATGCGGACCCCATCGAATCATTTGTCGTGAACCCTCTCGCTTATCGTATTCTCCTCATCGACCCCGATACCTGGCGCAAGGCGGCCCCGATCACCCAAGAACTCTATTACAAGCAGTTTGTGACCTTTGCCGTGAAAAGCAAGCACCACCAATTCAACAGCAAGCGGCTGCTCAGAATGCGTACGTCAGAGTTTGCTTGAGGCTCATCAGTATTTCATATACTCACTACTCATTCTATAGGCATCATCAAGAGGCTGCTGGATGCTCTCAAGGCCGAGACCATCTCGGAAGACATCCTGCCTCATTTCATGGCCTCGTTTGAGAGTCTGGTCAAATGCAATTTTAATGCAGAGGTTCACCGTTCTCTTGCCCTTTTCATCACCTACGCCTTCCATACCCCTGCTGGCTCCCTGCCCCGTACTCCCAAACCTATATCCAGAGCAGGGACGCCTTCCCTGAGCAACTTGAGAAGACCAGTCCCGGTTGAGACGGGAACGTCCTCCTCGAACGGCCCCTCAAGATTACTTACAAAGAAACAATTAGGCATCAAGTTCCTAGAGATGTACACACGGTTTCTCTGCGAGAAAACCAACCCGGCTGACATCCGCAAGTTCGCCAAGACAGTAACAAATAAGGTGATATTCGGTGTCGACCCAAAGAGATTCCCGAGGCCATATGTAGTACTGACGCCCTTGCAGTGGCTCCTCTACCTGCTTGCGGAGGACGATCCAGAAATCGTCGTCCACGGATGCAAGATTCTCGCCCGCCTCATAGTGTCGCAGCCGACAGCGTACACAACCAAATTCTCTACTAGGTCTGGAGGGTTTCACATCATGGCTCACCGCTTGAAGCAGTGGTGGGACATTGCTACTCTCTGGCCGATCCTGTTCAGTATCCTGTTTGGGTACGACGTTGCGAATATCAACTTTGGCAAGTCGTTTGACTTTTTCAGTCTCTTGGAAATATTTGGGAATCGACATGTGGTTTTCCCCGATGTGCTGCCGGTTATCATCTCGATGCTGCAGCACGGGCTGAGGGATATTCTCAAGTATCAGGATGATCCGGACTCTCCGCATGGAGACTGGGAGACGCCCAGGAGTGGTTCGGAAGGTCTTGCTGCCGTCCAGACGCGTCCAAGGGCTCGGTCTATGGAACTGGGCCAGGCTTTGGAGCCGCGGAGTATGTCTCTTTCTTGCCTTTGCTCTGGATCTTCGCTGACATATTGTCTAGAAACACGCCTGCCTGACAAAGAGAGGGTCTCGGCTAGTGTTGGAGTTCTTCAGACAGTTGTCCGCTTTTTGTCAGACATGCACAGTCGGTCGGCCAGCTTCAGAGATTTTGCCCTCAACTCTGACTACGTTCGCCTCCTTTTCTCGGCATTGTACCCCATCATCGTCAGCGCGGATCCCGTTACCCCCGATACTGAGCTCAACTCCAAGGACTCGGTCCTCACATTTGAGGGAGGCGACGTGCTTATCAGGCCGGTTCCCGGCTCTTCGACTACGGCCACTCCAATCATTCGAACCGCAAACGCAGGACAAATGGACGGGTCACCGTCGTCTGTACAGGGTCGCGGTACTCCTCTGCGGCGACCTTCCTCGTTCATATTGGTGGCATCACAACAGCAGCAGCCACTCTCCCCACCCATCCCCGCTCGTCTCAGCCATGTCATGTCGCCAAAGAAGCGGGTAAATACGCAGAAAGTCAGCAACGTGGTACTCGAGGGAGTGCTGGAGCTCATCATCAACGTCTTCACTGATCAGCTGCTCGTCCGAAAGGAATTTCCTGGTTTTGGTCTCTTCTTGAAGGTTCCTCCCGGCTTTCAGGAACATCAGGCCTACTTTGAGACGTATGTTCTTCGTAATATCATCACCCACCTGAAAAACACCATTCAGCTCGAGCAAAAGACCCTTCTCGAGCCGAGGATTCTGCAGAACATGTCTCGGTTGAACATCCACATGGTGGAAGCGATCTTTGAAGGGTGGTTCATGAATGGAGCAGAGACGATGATTGACTTTGCCGGGACTTTGCTGGAGTACCTGCTGCGACCTGACATCTCGTCTTTGAAGAGCGTCCGTCTTTGCAGCTCGGCGGTGGCAACGATCAGGGCATGCTTCTTGAAGCTGACGCTTTTGCGGCTGTCGGACATGGATGATCCGCAGTGCCAGGATGCGGATGCTGTTGCTAGTATGGGGCAGCTGATGTACTGGCAGACTGTGCTGCTCAACTGTCTGCAGGTGGAGGATGATTACATGAAGCTGTTGTGGTATCAACTTTACAACAAGCTGGTTGATCCGAGAGAGCAAGTTCGGATGATCGCTGCGACGGTGTGGCGGATCATGCTGGTGCAAAAGCCGGAGGAGGCCTCGGTTTTGTTCAGGCAGATCATGACGCCTGATCAGCAGCATCTGACGAGGGGATTCAGAAAACTGACTGAGCTGGATGACAATGCGTTTTTGGAATGGGTTGATCAGCATCGGCCTTCGTTGGATGTGTTGTTTGTCGGGGGGATTTCCAAGACGTGGGAGGAGTTTGTTGGTGGGGAGAATCAGCGGTACAATGACACTGCGAGGACGAGGTTGAGGAACCGGAAGGAGAAGTTGAAGCAGTGGCATGCTGAGTTGAGGGAGAGGGAGAACGTGCTGCTGAGGCATGAGATGGCGAACAGCGCGTGGATGAAGAGTATTTACTTCACTGAGCACTTCAAGTACCAGAGGCACTTGCAAGACCAACAAGATGACAACGCGTTCTTGGCGTGGACGTTTAGCAAGATGGACAGGGACTTGAGGAGGCCGGGAGCGGTGTTTGCGGAGAGGCAGGAGATTAAGTGGAAGCTGGATCGGACGGAGGGGAGGAACAGGATGAGGTTGAGGTTGTTGCCCGAGTATCCTGATCAGCATAGGGAGTATAGGCCGAAGAGGGGGGATAATTCGGGTCTGAAGCTGAATACGGGGTTGGCTGTGGGTCGACAGTCGAGCATTGGGATAACGCCGGCCAGTTCGACGCCGCCGATCGAGGCTGGGGAGGAGGAGGATACTGCTGAGGAAGGGGAGGAGGTGGTGGATGGGAAGGGGTTGGATCGGCAGGGGGTGACGCCGGAGGATGACTTTGAGCTGGTGGAGGATCCGAATGATCCGGATGGGGATGATAATTTTGAGGACAAGAACAGGAAGGTGATGAGGAGGTTGCAGCAGGGGGATTCGGTGCAGAATGTCTTCAACATTTCCAGGATCATTGGGCTGGATGCCTCGGAGGGGATCTTGATTGTTGGGAAGGAGGCGCTGTATCTCATGGACAGCTTGTTTCAAAGTGCCGATGGCGAGATCATCAACGTATGGCAAGCACCGCCGGAGGAGCGAGATCCGTTTTCCATCATCATTGCTGGCAAGAAGGCGGATGAGGCGCGCCAGGAGCAGAGCCGTGCTGGTTCGGAATCGCGCAGCTGGAAGTGGCGGGAAGTTCTGATGCTGTCCAAGAGACGGTTCCTCTTCCGGGATGTGGCCATCGAAATGTTCTTCACTGATGGCCGCAGTTATCTGCTTACGGCTATCAACTCGACGATGAGAGACGAGATTTATGCCAGGCTTACCGCCAAGGTGCCGCATAATAGCAACCCGAGTTTGTTGCCGAATCCGGAGGATGCCTGGAGATTGGAGGCTCTCAAGTTCACCGAGGAGGCACCGCAGACGCTGGGGGCCAAGTTTGGCAGCATTTTCAACTCGTCGGGGTGGAACCCGCTGATGAAGAGGTGGCAGAAGGGAGAGATATCCAACTTTCACTATCTGATGCTGGTCAACACCATGGCGGGCAGAACGTTCAACGATTTGACGCAATATCCGGTTTTCCCGTGGGTGTTGGCGGATTATACGAGTGAGGAGCTGGACTTGAATAATCCGGCGACGTTCAGGGATTTGTCCAAGCCGATGGGCGCGCAGAATCCTACTCGGGCGGCGGATTTCAACATGAGGTACAAGAGCCTGGCCGAGATTGGGGAGACGCCGTTTCATTATGGGACGCATTACTCGTCTGCGATGATCGTGTCGTCGTATTTGATTCGGTTGCCGCCGTTTGTGCAGTCTTACATACTGCTGCAGGGTGGGACGTTTGATCACCCTGATCGGTTGTTTTTCTCCATCGAGGGGACTTGGACGTCGTCGTCGAAGGATAATGGGTCGGACGTGAGGGAGCTGATTCCTGAGTTCTTTTACCTTCCGGACTTTTTGACGAATGTCAATGGTTACAACTTTGGTGAACGCCAAGGTGGCCAGGGGAAGGTGGACAATGTCATCCTGCCCCCTTGGGCCAAGGGCGATCCCAAGATCTTCATCGCCAAACACCGTGAGGCTCTCGAGTCTCCGCATGTGAGCCAGCACCTCCACAAATGGATCGATCTCATCTTTGGGTACAAGCAGCGCGGAGAAGCCGCGGTAGAAAACTTGAATGTCTTCCACCATCTCTCTTACAAGGGCGCCAGAGATTTGGATGACATTGTCGACCCTCAGGAACGTGCCATTACCACGGGCATCATCCACAACTTTGGCCAGACCCCCCACCAAGTCTTTACTCGGCCACACCCCGCCAGGGAATACGACCGCTGCCCGATCAAGCGGTTGGACACCTCCATATCCGCCCTGACTAAACTCCCCTACCCGCTGCTGGAAAGCCACGAACGGGTGTCGTCATTGATTTACGTCCAGAAATACGACCGGCTGCTTTGCGCCTCCCCGTTCAGGATCAACCTCCCCCCGTTCTACGACAAGTTTGTCGAATGGGGTTATGCGGATAACTCGGTCAGGTTCTTCTTTAGCGACAACCGCCGTTTGGCGGGGCTGCACGAGAATCTGCACATAGGGCAGATATCAACCCTCACATTTGCAGACAGCAAAACGCTGATCACGGCCGGGGAGGACTGTGTCGTTTCTGTCTACAACGTGCAGACATCACCCGGAAAACCGGTGGAACTGCAGCAGAGGTCGAGCTTATTCGGGCACAAGACTCCGGTCACCAACATCGCGGTGGCGAAGGCGTTTTCGACGATTGTGACGGTATCGCAGGATGGGGTTGCGTTTCTTTGGGATCTGAACAGGTTGGAGTTCATCAGACGGTTGCCGATGCCGATGAGGGGGGTGGGACAGCAGGTCGAGTGTGTGGCTGTGAATGACACGACGGGGGACATTATGGTTTGTGTTGGGCAGAGCGTGGTGTTGTTTACGGTGAATGGGGAGGTGATTTTGGATCAGAATGTATGTGGTGGTGGTGGTGGGAGCGAGGGGGAGGTGACGGATGATTACGTGCATAGCTGTGCGTTTTATGAGGGGTCGGGGGGGAATGAGTGGTTGGAGAATCAGTTGGTTTTTACGGGGCATAAGAGGGGGAGGGTGAATATTTGGAGGAAGACGGTTAGCAAGGAGGGGAGGTGGGTGCTGGAGTGGATGAGGAGGT